ATTGAGTACCTGAGTGTAGCTGTCTCTTTCTCTTTCTCTCTCAATCTCAATTTCTCACTCTCTCCCCCTCTCTCCTTTTTAAATTAGACTGCTCTTGAACTAGGGAGGGTTTGAAGGAACTGCTGAGGTTCTGATAATGTACAGTATCTTGACATGGATGATGGTTTCATGGGAGTAAACATGTACATTAAGGTTGGGTTTTCATGGTGTGTGGTACTTAAGAAATTATTGTCTACCAAGGACCTAAGACCATTCATTCTATGGTGTTTTTTGTTGTTTTTTTTTTTGAGAACTTTTACTGTTTAGCATTTCACATTTAGTTGTGATCCATCTCAAATTTATTTTCTTGTTTATGGTATATCAACCTCTAAGTACACACTGAGACTTTGGAGGGAGCAAATTTGAGGAGTTTTGAGACAAGATATCAGGTGAATGGTAGTAAAACCAGTACCATTTAGTAAAAAGACCATTTTTTTCCCATAACATTGCAGTGTAATATTTGTATAAATCAGGAAAGTAAATTTACATGTATTTCTGGGTTTCATTCAGTTCCATTTGTCTAGTTCTCTGTCCTTGTGCTAATGCCACACTGTTTTAATTATAATAACTATACCTAAGTTTTTATAATGGTAAATTTTGTGTGTCTTCTTGATTGGGCTAAAGTATAGCTAGTAAAATACTGTTTCTGGATGTGTCTGTGAGACTGCTTCAGGAAGAGATAGCATTTGATAAGTACACTGAGTAAACAAAAGCTTCAGCAATGTAGGTGGACATCATCAGATCCAACCCTGAATAATACAGATATCTGGGAGATGAAGTTCTCAAGCTTTGGTGTTCAAAACTGTCTTTGATTATTACAGGTGCTTTGTTGAAGTGGTTGTAGTGGATTTCCTTGTCTTGTTCTTAAGCTAGTATATAGCAATTCATAAATTATAATTTTAATTGTAGGGCTTTTTGTAGCTACCCACTGACTGGAAGGGAACTGAACTACAGGTCACTAACAGGAAGACAATTGAGAAAAATCCCCCAAAGTTTGGAAATTTAACAATGTAATTCTGAACAGGACCAGACTAGGGTGAGGGAAGCCAGGAGTCCAAAGTACAAAAGTGTCATCCCTGCCCTTCCACAATCCTCTTTAATATGTGTAAACACATATTAAATATGTGTAGACACATCCTTGAGCTGGTTCTGCTTATGAGTAACTTGCAACTTTGATGAGAGAGCACCATGGAAAAAAGAAAATATTTAGAACTGAATGTTAAAAAATAACAAAATTTATGGGATAGAATTAAAGCAGTTCTTGGAAAAAATTCTTATGTCTAAGTGAACATATTTGAAAAAGAAGGAAGGTTGGATGAATAATGATCTAATTCAATGCTGTCCGTATAAGTTTCTACAGTGATAGAAATGTTCTCTATTCTGTCCAACATGACACATGTAACTACGGAACCCTTAAAACATAGTTAGTGTGCCTGAGGTACTGATTTTTTTCTAATTTCTGTTTCATTAATTTAAAATTAAACTTAAAGGTAGGCGAAAACATTCTTCCTTTACAAAAGAATTCCAAATAGTTTGTGTAATCTCTTAATTTGCGTATCTCATATATCCTCTCCTCTCAATAAGACTCCTTGCCCCTTTTTGAGTGTGGGCTGGTTTTAGTGACTTATTTTGAAAGAGTAGACTTTGGAAATGGGAAAAAAGTAACTTTATAGTGGAGAAAGTGGTGCTAAGTCATACTGATAGCAAGTGTCCTTGACAGGAAGTGATGAAGATGTATCATATCTGTGATATAATTCTAAAAACCTATTAACACCAGTGTAACCATGATTAAATACATCAAGCCCAAGTTGAGAAACATTCTGACAAATACTTGATCTTTCAGGACTTGTCAAAATGGTAAAGGTCATGAAAAACAATGAAAATTTAAAAAATTGTTATATACAGGTCTATGACTAAATTTAAAGGGGAATCTAGCAATGAAAATCTAAAACAAAAAGGAAATTAGTGGAAAAAACAGTGAAATTTGAATAAAGCCTGGAGCTTAACAAATAGCAACTTATTGAAAGATACTGGAGTAGTTTTGAGAACTAAAACACATGTGCCATTTCACATACATACATTTTAGACATTGCAAATATTTTCTCTACATTTACAACCTGTTCATTCACTAGTATAGTTCATTCTATCAACAGAAATCTTCAAATGCAAAAGATCAGTAATATTTTGACTGTGTGATCTGACAATAATGCAAAAAAAAATGAGAAAGTGAATAAAGAACAGCTTAAAAAATCCCATAGATTTGGAAAACAAATGTCTTATTGTAACAGGGTGGTCCCCAGGAAAGGGGGAAGTTCCAGGTTCCCTGCCCCACCCAAGGGAGGGTGGAGCTGAGCAGGAAGAGGAGAAGCTGCAGAAGAGACTGAGGAAGGAAGCAGGATGGAGCAAGGAGACCTGGAGGAGGCGCATGGAGCCTAGAGACACGTGAAGAAACTGCGCTTGTCTTTTGGTCGTGGACTGGGTGACACAGATGTGGGTGAGACCCGTGGGGAGGTGACAATGGCAGCTTTTATCTTGATGTTGATTTTGCTCTTTTCCTTCCGGGCTTGTCCAGTTGTTTGTGACCCTTTTCTGTGGGTCCCCACTGGAAGATGCTTTAGACTTGTAGCAGGCTTTGGGGCCTTGCTCTGGGCCGATCCCATTTGGATGGACTTTTACCCACGAGGGGATGGGTAACTCTGGATGCTTCATTTAGAAACTAGACTAGAAACTAGACTCTTTGCTTTACCTGTATTGTTTCCTAGTTTTATTAAAGTTCCTTCCCATTAAAGTCTCCTATGTTTTGTGTTGATGTGGCGGATGGCAGAACCCATGTAGAATAGGCAGGTTTGCGGGGTTTGGGCTGCCCCTCTCCCTGTCCTATAACATTATTATTCTAGAACTCTTGTGTTAAAAAGAGAATCACTACTACAGAAATTAGGACATACTTGGAATTGAATAATAATGAACAGATTAAGAAGCAAAATAAGTGCAATACATTTAAATAACTAGTAAATGAAGGCAAATTTAAAGCATTACATGCCAAAAAATAAAAGGGTGTTTACAAACCAATGAACTAGGCAATTATCTCAGAAAGTTTTAAAGAGGAGCAACAGAACAGATTTGTGCAAACAAGAAGGAAGAAGGAATGGAAGAAATAAAAGAAATAGAGAATAAAGAGCATTTTAGTTAAAACGAGGACTCCCCCCCCCCAAAAAAAAAAATTACTGAAGTAGATTTCTGGCAAGATTGGACAATTAAAAAAATCTGTAAAGGGTCAGACAGGTTTTGCGAATGTGATCTCTGGCAATTAACCTTGCCATTGTAATTAGGAAAGCAGTTGTAGACAAAATCTAATGGAATGGGCAGGGGCCTCCCTGGTGGTGCAAGGGGTTAAGCATCAGCACTGATACCGGAATTGTCAGGCCTAGTCTCCCAGCCAGGAATGGATTCCAGGCTGCAGGGCAGTGCTGAGCCCCAGCCGCTAGACCCCCCAAGGGTTGGTGTCTCAGGAAGCCTCAGCAGGAACTTCACAGACGCTCAGGCAAGCAAGCAAGCAAAGGCAGGTTTGTTTAGAAGAGGAAAAAGTTTATTGAGGAGAAAAAGAACAGAAATAAAGTGGGACTCCCAGGCCAGGGAACCAGGCCTGGGAGGGGCAAGGAAGCCAAGGTGGAGTTGTGTTTCAGGGAATATATACCTTTTTTCCCTCATTATTTTAAAGCTTCACCAGTCTCTCTGTGATTGGTTAGTTTTCGGCTGTCTCACTTAATTTGCAACTGAGTGGGGATCTTCACATTCCTTTTCTAACAGCTTTCTCTTTCCCCATTAGTTGCATCTTTAAATTTATGGCCCAGTCCTCTGGATGGGCATCCCTGCATTGAAGTTAAACAGCTGCCCTTCTAATGTGTCCATAAATTAAACCACTCTCCATTTCTCCAATATCCGCCTCCCTTTACCACCTGAAGGAAACCAGGACTAGCATTAACAATGTTATCCTTATCTCTGAAGCCTCCCTAAATTCTTCAGAGGTCCCCTCCTACACTGTCCCTAAAACTGCCTAATAACCCTAGCTTGCCCTGTCTCAGCACCATGAAGCTATCTGCTACCCGAAGCCACTGATTTTTCAAGCAGGAGTTTGATTACCCTGCCAGGGAGCTGACCCACATGGCGCAGCAGACCTCTCCTGTCTCGCTGGCTGCTCCCCTCAGCAGTGTATCTCAGTGGATCCACCTGTTCTGCTCCTCACTCTTTTGCTGGTGAATCCTCTCAACCCCCCACCAACCTCTGACCTGTACCCCAGTTCTTGTATGCATAAATAAATAAATCTTTAAAAAAATTAAAGGAATGGGCATATCCCTGTTATAATTAAACTTCATGGACGCTGAAATTCGGACTTCCTGTAAGTTTCACACTCAAATAATAGCCTTTTGGTGGCTTTCCCAGACATTAAAAGACGTAAAGCTCCATCTTAGCTCGTGCTGCAAACTGCACAAAAACAGGTGGCCGGCTGGACTCGCCTGGTCCCAGATGCAACTTCAAGAGAATGGTTTCGAAGATGCAGTTGTTTGGACAAGTTCCTTATTCATGGGCAGGCAGCATGTGCTCTTACAGAAAAGCAACCACACCTGAGGATTATGAGAATTGGAATCCAGATTGGCAAATACAGTCCCTGGTACACCGGGAGCAAACCCTTGGCTTTGAACCCTGCTTGGCGATTTGACTGAGCGCCCACAGCCTCCCAGAGCCTCCGAATCCTCGCTGCCCACCCTTTCCCCTCTCAGCCTGACCCCACACCCCGCGGTCACCACCAGAGGCGCCGGGGCGCGCGCATGCGCCCCAGCCTTGCGTCCAATCAGATCGCCTCCCCCGGAGCCATCCCGACCCGGTGCGCGCACCTGGCAGCCAATCACAGGTCGCTGCGGGCGCGCGTGCGGAGGCGGCGGTGGCTGCGGCGGCGCCTGGGGCCTGAGGAGGCGTCATCGCCTCGGGCTTCGCCCGGGTAGCCCCTCGGGCCCGGTGCATCGCCCGCAGCTTCCCGACCGCCGGGAACCGGGAGCGGTAAGGACCCCCCCGCCCCCCGGGAGTGGCGCGGCCGGAGTATTCCCTAAGGGAAAAAAGGCGGGGATTCTCGCGGCCGCGGCTCCGCGGGGCTGGACACTGGGCCGGGCCTTGCACTGCCCGAGCGGCCTGCCCTGCGCCGCGGCCCTCGGGAGGGAGGCCCCGCGGGCCCTGGGGCCGCGCTCACAGCCCTCCTGTCCCTCATCTCTGCAGAGCCACTTTCAGTCAGTTTCCCCTCCCCGCGGCCCGGCGGGGCGCCCCCATCCCCCAAGTCTGGGTTGTGGCCAGGCCTGCTGGAGAAGGGGCCTGTTGTGCCTTCCAGTGCCTTCTCCTCCCTCAGCCCCCCAAGGTCTTGTGGAACTTGCTGCATCTGAAGATCTTCAACCAGGTTTGTAACTCCAGCGTCGCCCACCTTCTGGACATCTGTGGGCCCTGCTGTCCTTTAAAGCATTTAAAAATTAATTTATTGGTCTCCTTATCATAGCGTCTTGTATATTTTTCGTGTTTATTTGTTTACTTAGTTATTTCTGCCTGGATTCTAAATGCAGCCCCCACCTCCTTAATAAAGTCCCGAATCCTCGATTAAGGGTGAATTTTCAAGAGTTTTGATTAGATTGGTTTGAGGATGGTTTTTCACTGAGGTAGAGTGGACTGGAGGAACAGGTTTGGGGGAAAGGAATTCAGTTATCTTTTCTGTTTCAGTGTGAGAGATTTGATAAAGAATCCAAATACCAGGTAGGCAGTGGTTTATTCCTGTAACATGTAAGTAACCTTTATCCTTCTTTGCCTCAAGGATGTGATCGCCTGCCTGGAATATTCTCATATTCTTAGACGTTTCAGCGCACATCTGCGGTAAGAAGAGAGAGGTCTGTATTATAAAGACCAGGGTTATGTCTTTTTTCCTTTGGCTTTTGTCATGTTCTCTCCTGTACTACAATATTACTCTTTAGACAGTGTTTCCTCAGTGTGTCTAATCTGAATGTGTGGGATAAATTCAGGCCAGTCATTGATTTGGATAATTCTGGAGCTTTCTAAATTGCTTCCTTGTAAAATATGAGGGTGAAAAATTAAAACAAAAGGGAAACAAAAATAAAAGAAGAAAAAGGGGAGGCTAGTGGTGACATTCTTTCACCTGCTTTCCAGAAAAAATAAAGAAAAGTCAGAGCACCATGAATTTTAAGTTATATAAATCTAACTGCTTTTATTATGTTGTAAGGGAAACAAGCTGATAAAATACCCTTAGACTTCAGCTAATGTGTTAAATGGTTCATTCAGGGCAAATATATATTGGTTAAAATGATCACATGGGGTTTGTTCATTTCTATGTCCATTTTCTTAAGCCATTTCCTTAAGGGCTTTATTTCATGAAATGATTGAATGCAGCTGGATAGAGTAGGCCATTTCATGTCATTAGGCAAGATTATAGTTAAGTTGTCTGCCCAGCAATTTGTGCATATGGTTCTCTGAGAACTGTTGTGTAGTTATTACTCTGTAGTACTTTATCTCAAACTTAAAGGTTTAAAATAACAAATCTTTGTTATCTCATAATTGATGCAAGTCTGAAATTCAGGAGTAGTTTAATTGGGTGATCCTAGCTAAGGATTTCTCATATAGCCCAGTTCATGGCTGGATTAGCCGTCTCCGAAACTTGACTTGTGTTGGATGGTCTGTCTCTCAGCTCACTTGCTTGACTGTCATGACAGCTGGCTGCCCCCAGAATGAGTAATTCCAGGGAAAGTTTGCATACAAGGTAAAGTACAGAGCCATTTTCAGAAGTTACATGCTATTACTTCTGCTGTATTTGTTTAGTCTCACAGGCCAACCTTGTGATAGTGTGAGAGAAGACTACACAAGAGTGTGAATACCAAAGTGGAATTCATTTGGAGCCATTTTGGAAGTCTGGCTATAACACCACTTATCCACTGTTGCAGCCTTTGCCATGTGATCTGAGACTACCCTGGCTCCAGCTTAAAGCCCAAATTGCTATTGTGTACTAGATCCAAGCAATTCTTGTTTAATCAAGGTTATTGTTCATGCAAGTCACTTTTTTAACCCTGGATTATATTTTCCGTTTCTCTTGATGATTCCCATTAGGAAACAGATTGAAGGTAATGTTAAATCTCATTCAAAAATCCATCTTTTGATACATATCCTCCCTTTGCTTGTATTATTTTTAAATTTATTTTATTTTTATTTACTTGTTATTACAGGAAAATTTCTACGAGGTTGCCCTATTTGTGATTTCCAGTTCTCCCATTCCCCTTTAAATCCATTCTTATCAAGGTCACCAATGAACTCCATAATGCTTAATCTAATGTCTAATTTTCATTTTTATGTTATTTGATTTATTGGCAACATTTAACACAGTTGCTTATTTCTCCCTGCGCAGACCTTTCCTGCCGCAGTCTGCCTGTTTTGCTGCTCACTCTGGCTCTGGTGAATTCTCTCACCCTCCCGCGCTTCTGACTGTACCCAGTGCTTGCATAAATAAATCTTTAAAAAAAAAAAAAGATTTTGATCTAGACTCTGACCCCTTCTGGAAAAATGTCTGTTTTTCTACCCTGTTTAATTCTTTTGTGTGATTTCAGTAGCCTCTTGTCTATCTGCTTCCAGTATTACCCTCTAATGTCTGTATTTCACACAGCAACCAGAGTAATCCTGTTGAGATGAAAGTCACATATCACTCTTGAAAACAGCCCAATGATCTCTCATCACAGTCAGAGTAAAAGTCAGAGAACTTAGAATAGCCTACATTGACCTACCTGATCTTGCCTCTCCTCCGCCACAAGAAGCTCATTCTTTGACCTCATCTCCAGCTTCTCTCCCTTTTCTATTAACTTGCCTATGTTAGTCTCTTGACCAGTCCTTGAATGTGTTAAGCACCTCCAGTCTCAGAACCTTTGGATTTGCTTGTTTTCTTTTTTTTTTTTTTTCTGGAGTACTTTTCCCCAAATATCCATAATCATGCCCTGAAAATATCAACCTTATTATCTGGCCCATTTTCTATTTTTTATCTAGCATTTATAAGCATTTGGAATTACATATATTGTGTGTATATATCTGTAATTTGGTAAATAACTAAGTATTTCATGTATTTTTAGTATATACTACATATTACATATAACAAAATATGTATAATAGCATGGAATTTTGACTCCCTGAAGAATAGGACTTTGGATCATTGCTGTAACCCTCATCCTAGAACAGCACCTGTCACATGATAGGCTCATCAGGCTTACTAATTGCATGGTCTCTTGCTCAGATTCCTTTCAAACACCACCTTGATGTTCCTTGCTACTACCTCTTTCTCTCTGTGGTTAGGAGACTGTCAAATTTTCATTCCGTTCCTGTGTCATTTCTCAGTTTCTCACATTAGAAGATAGGGATATCTTCTAATTCTACCATAGAAGGTTTCATGGTCTTAGCTAACCCAAAATAGTGAATATCAGAACATAACAAATGTATGTACATCCACACTTCGAACATTTGATCTTTTGTCTTCTTAGGAGTTAGTTAATGTGGGCTCAATAACATTGCTCTTTGTAAGCTTCTTATACTTATAAACTACCAGGTTACCAAAGTTCATTCCTTCATCTTTCCCTTAAATGTGTAAATTAGTCATTTGAATAACACTGAATAATACAATTCTGAGAGTTCTGTGTGAGCATTAGCGTCATATACATTTAAAAATGAGTAAGCCTGCTTTTAAGACAAAATTTTATCACAATTTTTCCTCCTGGGACCTTTCCTGTATCAGAGATCCAAGTTATGTGGAAATTCATGACAGGAGCCATTAGGTCTGATGGAGTATACAGTCATAACTTTCACAATCTCTAGATTCCTTCTAATTAGGTTGACTGACTTAGCATCCAAATAGAAAAGTGAGAAAAGTGACACATTAAATACACAAGGAAAGCAGGTTCAATTGGGATTGTCCTAATTTAACCGGGATATTTAGCAACCCTACTTACAGTTCATTGGGTCTTCCAAGTCCTTGGTGTAATAAGAGAAGTGTCCTCTCTGTAGGAAGATACTCTTCCTTCCTTTGAAATGTATGTTTCCCACTATAAATTAATAAATTGACTGATATTAGCTTTAATCTTTTTTTTTAAAGATTTATTTTTATTTTATTTATTTATTTATTTATACAAGCACTGGGCACAGTCAGAAGTGCGGGAGGGCGAGAGAATTCACCAGAGCCAGAGCGGGGAACAGAACAGGCAGAAGGACCAAAGTACACTGCTGAGGGGAGCAGCGGGCAGCAGGAGAGGTCTGCGCGTCATGCGGGACCCTCCTCCAGTGGCCGGGGAGCAGCCGGGGATTGAACCGGCACTGCAGAGGCTGCGGGCAGCTTCGCAACTCAGTGCACAACCGCTGCGCCACCGGGAGGCCCTACTAGCTTTAATCTTTTGGCTAGATTAATTTTTGGTTTTTACCATGATGCTAATTAACTCTTGTTACATAAATGGAGTCTATTTTAGTGGGCTTTGAAAATTTAGTATTAGTTGTTGGGATGTGGAGCTCACATCAGCCTATTTTTTTTTTTTAAGATTGATTGAGTTATTTATACAAGCATTGGGTGCATCAGAAGTGTGGGAGGGTGAGAGAATTCACCAGAGCCAGAGCAGGGAGCAGAACAGGCAGATGGACGAAGTACACTGCTGAGGGGAGCAGCAGGCGGCAGGAGAGGTCTGCAAGCCATGTGGGACCCTCACCCAGTGGCCGGGGATCAAACCGGTACTGCAGAGGCTGTGGGCAGCTTCGCAACCCAGCGCTCAACTGCTGCGCCACCAGGGAGGCCCCACATCAGCCTATTGCTAAGCATTCTTTTATTTGATAAAGATGTAATTCACATACAAAATTCACTCTTCAAAGTGTGAAATTGAAAGTTTTTTAGTATAGTCATAAAATGGTACAACTATGACCATTATTTAATTCCAGAACATTTTATTAAGCCCAATACCCTGTATCCACTAGTAGTCACTACCTGTTTACTGTGGTTACCTCATGCTTGGTGGCTTAAAACAACAAAAATTTATTCCATCTCAGTTCTGGAGACCAGAGTTGGAAATCAGTTATCATTGGATCTAAATCAGTATGCTGGCAGGAACACAGTCCCCCAGTACTCTCAGGGAGAATATATTCTTTTTCCAACTTGTCAGGGTTGGCATTCCTTGAGAGTGGGTATAATCCCTCTGGTCTTTGCATATCACTTTTTCCTTGTGTATGTGTGTAATCTCTCTGTGCCTCTCATAAGTACATTTGTGACAGCATTTTGGGACCACTTGTATAAACCAGGAAAATTTCCCCATCTCAAGATCCTAACTGAACCACATCTACAAAGACTTTTTCCAAATCGGGTAAAATACACATGTTTCAGAGTTTAGGAATTTGATATTTTGGGGGGTCATTATTTGACCTACTTCACTCTCCTGCTTCTTTCCCTCTAGTTTATTTCCCTCTATAGATTTCTCCTAATATTTTCTTTAAGTGAAGTCATACAGTATGTGACCTTTTTGTGACTGACTGTATGCACTTAGCATGTCTTCAAGGTTCGTCCATGTTGTACATGTACAGGGGAACTTTCTTTTTATGGCTGAATTCCATTATTTGGATATAACACAGCTGGTTTATAAATTTGTCAGTTAAACATTTGGGTTGGTTGTACATCATGGCTATTTATGAATAATGCTGCAGTGAATGTTCTTATGCAAGGTTTTGTTTTCAGTTCCATATATATATAGGTAGGAGTGTAATTGCTGGATCATATGGTAACTCTCCATTTAATTTTTGAAGTACTGTCAAATTGCTTTCCAAAGTGCACCTTTTTTTGTTTTTGTTTTTTACATTGCCACCAGCAATATACGAGGATTCTAATTGTCACAGGTCCTTTGCACCTCTCATTCCTGTTCTTTTGATTCTGGCCACCCCTATTGGATGTGAAGTATTACCTCATTTTAGTTTTGATTTACATTACTCTAATGATTGTGTTGAGCAGTATTTCTTGTCATTATTGGTCATTTATATATTTTCTTCAGAAAAATGTCTATTCAAATATTTCACCCATTTTTAATGAGATTTTAAGAATTTCATTACAATTTAAAATACTTTATAATTAAATTTAAACAAATATTTTATCTTATACATAAAAACATTTACCACTTTTAACGTTTACCACTTGCACTTTTAAGCAAGTATATTCAAAACATTGTTTTGAAACAGATCTCTAGAACTTTTTCATCTTACAAATTTGAAGCTTGTTACAAAAACTCCTCAATGGAATCATGCAGGTTTTTTTTTTTTTTTTTCATTTTTGTGATGGCTTATTTCATGTACTATAATATCCTCAGGGTTCAGCATATGGTAGCTTGTGACAGAATTTCCTTCTTTGGCTGAATAATATTCCATCATATGTATGTACCACATTTCAAAAAATGTGTTCATCAGTTGATGGGTATTTGGGTTGCGTCCACTTCTTGGTTACTTTGAATAGTGCTTCTGTGAACATGAGTGCGCAAATGTCTCTTTGAGACCATTCTTTAATTTGTTTTTGATATATCTGGAAGTGGAATTGCTGGATCATATTGTAGTTCCATTTTTCATTTTTTTGAGTAACCTCTGTACTACTGTACTATTGTACAGAGGTTGCACCATTTTACAACTGTTGCACCATTTTACAACCCAACTACAGAACCTGGATTCCAGTTTCTCCATATTCTTGCTGACAGTTGGTAGTTTTTGGTTTTGTTTGTTGGTTTTGATAGTAACCCTCCTGATGTATGTGAGGTGTCACACTATTGTGGCTTTGATTTGTATTACTCTGATAATTAGTATGTTGGTCATCTTTTCATATACTTGCTGGCCATTTACCTATTACCTTTGGAGAAATGTTTATTCATGTCCTTAGTCCACTTTTTAAGTGAGTTGTCTTTTTATTCTTCTGTTACAATGGTCTTATATATATATATATTCTGAATTTAAGTTCCTTATGACATATGTGGTTTACAAATACTTTCTCCCATTTTGTTGTTTTATTTTCATGATGGTGTCCTTTGAAGGATAAACAGAGAAACCAAACAAAAGGTCAAGAAAATGTCAAAACTAAGAA